CAACAATATTTTTTGGTTGCTGCTACTTTACAAGACATTATTAGACGATTTAAATCAAGTCAATATGGAAATAGAAATCCTATACGTGTTGAATTCGATTCTTTTCCTGACAAGGTCATTTTTAATTTTTGGTTTGTGGGAAGTTTTAATAATTTAATTTTGATTCGTAATTTCGATTTTTGTTGGGGATTTATTTCGATTTTCGGAAATTTTTTAGTCTCGAAACAGTTCCTGAGCCGTCAACAAGTTACTATATTAGGCCGAAGACTGTATTATTCAAATATTCGATTTTGAGCTCAAACATTATTCAAATTTTTTTGTCAATTGTCTAGAATAATTATAAATTTAAAGGTAGCAATTCAATTAAATGACACACATCCATCTATTGGCATACCTGAACTGGTTCGTCTTCTTGTTGATGTTGAAGGATTGGATTTTGATCATGCTTGGGATATTTGTATTAAAACATTTGCTTACACAAATCATACTTTATTGCCTGAAGCTTTGGAACGTTGGCCGGTAGAAAATTCTCTTTTTAAAAAAGGGGGAGGGTCCAAAAAGTACCCAAATTTTCAATAACTATATTTTTAGGTTTCGATGTTAGAACATTTGTTGCCACGCCATTTGGAGGTTTTTTTGTAATTTTTTTTTAAATTATAAAAAAGAATTTTAGATTATTTATTTGATTAATCAACAATTTATGGAGCAAATTGCAAAAAAATATCCTGGAGATGTTGATAGAATGCGTAGAATGTCTATTGTCGAAGAACCTGATCAATTCAATGGGGAAAAAAGAATTAATATGGCACATTTATGTATTGTTGGTTCTCACTGTACAAATGGTGTTGCTGAATTACATTCAAGTTTATTGAAAAGCCAAACGTAAATTTTTATAAAAAATTTTTGGGGGATGAGACAACCCTTGCATGTCTATAATTTTCTTTAAGAAACTCTCATTGGTTTTGGTTAAATTTTTCGAGTTGTGTCAAAATTATAGACTCACAAACTTGTATAATAATTAGTTTGATTCCTCGGGGAGGGCTTATTGTTGGTGTCCGGAAAATTGGGCTCTGGAAAATTGGGCTCCAAGATTTTTCGGAAAATTGGGCTCCAACTTTTCGGAAAATTGGGCTCCAGCGGAAATTTGGGCTCTTCGTGAAAAAAGCGGAATATTGGGCTCTAAAATTTTGGGCTCCAGAGGAATTTTGGGCTCTATGGAAAAAAGTCAAATTATGCAAAAAAGGGAGATGTTTATATGGGGTACACACCGATGTACCGCCGCCGTTGGTGGAACAACATCTCCCATTGATGGAACAACATCCCCCGTTGACACCCGTCATTCTAACAACATCCCCTATTGATATTGCATAATTTGACTTTTTTCCATAGAGCCCAAAATTCCTCTGGAGTCCAAAATTTTAGAGCCCAATATTCCGCTTTTTTCACGAAGAGCCCAAATTTCCGCTGGAGCCCAATTTTCCGAAAAGTTGGAGCCCAATTTTCCGAAAAATCTTGGAGCCCAATTTTCCAGAGCCCAATTTTCCGGCACTCTTATTGTTAGCTAGGGGGTCGATTTCAGGGGGCTACGTCCTTTTCCCTGTATCCATATCATGGCTGTTCCAGTTTCGCCTTTTGCCGAATTTCGCTTTTTTGGACTTTCGTATTCACTTCTTGAGTCACTTCTGGCACATTCGTGACCCTTATTAATTATTACCTTTATTAATTCTAGTTTTCGCGATTTTTACGACTTCTTCCCCAATCGTTTTCAAAATAAAACAAATGGAATAACACCTCGTCGTTGGCTTCTTTTATGCAATCCTTCACTTGCTGATCTTATTTGTGATGTATTTTTAAGACAAAATTTAAATTAAAACAAAATCTTTTTTAGAAAATTAGTGATGAATATATTTATGATTTATACAAGCTTAAACAACTTGAAAAATTTTCAACTAATATTGGATTTTTGGATGCAATTGCACGGATTAAAAGAGTTTATTTTTTACACAAACTTAATTTTTATTTTTTAAAGGATAATAAATTACGTGTTGCACAATTTATTAAAGAACAATTTGATATTGATATTAATCCCGCAAGTTTGTGAAATTTATAAAATACTTTTGATTTTAATATTTTGACCATTAGGAGGAGTCACTTTAGTTAGGGAGACAATCCACAATTTCTAGCATGGAAAATGATTTTCCTTTTACCTTTTACATCTTCAAACTATTAAGATAGGCCAATTTAGGGGGTCAAGCAATTGAATTAGGGAACCTAGAGATTAGAGACCAGCAAAATTCTGTGATTTCGCATACATAATTTTTCTAAAAAAATCCCAAGACGGGATCCTGCAAATCCCTCGCAGGATCCAGTTTTGCGCCGGTCTCCACGGGAACCTGATTTACCTTTTTAGTCTTTAACAAAATATTTTTTAAAGGTATGTATGATATTCATGTAAAACGTATTCACGAATATAAACGTCAATTACTAAATATATTGCATGTAATCACTTTATATAATCGAATAAAGGCCGATCCAAATGATGATGAAATTGTTCCAAGAACTGTTATGTTTGGTGGAAAGGTTGTTTTTTGAAAAGAATTATTTTGATTTTTTCTAATTTTTTCTAATAAAAAAATATTTTTTAAAGGCAGCCCCAGGTTATCATATGGCTAAACAAATTATTAAATTGATTAATGCTGTTGCTTCTGTTGTTAATTGTGACCCTATTGTAGGGGATAAATTGAAGGTTTTTTTAATTTCTGAAATTTATTGCAAACATGCCCACATTTTTTATTTCCTTTATTCCAGCTTCTTTTTTATAATAGTAAAGATGAGAAAGTGCCAAAAAAAATTTTTTTTAATTATTTAAAATTTTTAAAGGTAGTCTTTCTGGAAAATTATCGTGTTTCAATGGCTGAAAAAATAATTCCAGCCGCTGATTTGTCTGAACAAATTTCAACAGCTGGGACAGAAGCTTCTGGTACCGGAAATATGAAATTTATGTTAAATGGTGCTTTAACTATTGGAACTTTGGATGGAGCTAATGTTGAAATGGCTGAGGAAATGGGTGAAGAAAATATTTTTATTTTTGGAATGCGTGTGGAAGAAGTTGCTGCTTTGGAGAAGAAAGGGTGTGTTTATTTTTTTATTTATTTTGTCGTTTCATAAAAAAAAGTTTGCTCTACAAATTTTTATTGAATTTTTTGTAAATTTTCAAAAGCTGTGAAATTCCTTTAGAGAGTTTTCCAATAGATCACAAAATTTGAGATTTTTTGCTTTGGTATTCGTATCATATGCTCGAAGAGCCAAAACTCTCAGTGTACCTAACCAAAAAATTTTAAATTTTGTGATCTATTAGAAAACATTAAAGAATTTTTATCCAAAATTTCAAAGCTTTTGAACATCTACAAAAAATTGTATAACATTTTTTTATAAAATGAACTTTTTTAAGAAACGAAAAGTTTGTTAATTGAATAATTTTTATTATATTTAGTTATAAATCTACTGATTTTATTGAACAAAATATAGAATTACTTCAATGTGTTGAACAAATTGAGGCTGGATATTTTACTCCAGATCAACCAGATGCACTTAAAGATGTTGCTAATTCTCTTCGTTTTTATGATCGTTTTCATGTTTGTGCTGATTATGCTGACTATATTCGTTGTCAAGAAAAAGTTTCAGAGACATATAAGGTTTAGAAATTAATTTTTGTAAAGTTTATATTCCTATAGTCAAGAGGTAGGATCTCTATTGACCCTTCTCCCAAAAGTTTAACTCCAAATATTTGACGTTTAATGAGTTATCAAGATCAATACTATAATATATTGTCTTGCTCTCTGCTTTCTTTAGTCTTATCTGACAGTTGTACAAGAGAATTTCTTTTGTTGATTTCCGCTTTAATACCTACAAAATTTTTTATTTGCACAAATCCTTTATCCGCCCAAATATTTCTAGGTGTTGAGTTGTTCCCAACCAGAAGAGATAATATCACCAATTAAAAAAATTTCTTTTTAGAATCAAGACAAATGGTTAAAAATGTGTTTATTTAACATATCTTCAAGTGGGAAATTTAGTACGGATAGAACAATAAAAGAATATGCAAATGATATTTGGAATGTTGAGCCTGGGACTGTTCAATTACCACCGCCATATGAAACTGAAGATGCTCGTATTCCTCCTTCAGATGGATTTTGAGAAGTTTAGTTAGATTTTTAAGAAGAAATTTTTTTAAATTAGTTAAAGTACCTATTATTATTGTAAACTTAAAAATATTATTATATTAGACCGGCAAACAAAAATTCTTAACTACTGCAGTAAATTTATAGTTTTTTTAAAAAATGTTTCTTTACTCATGCACAGCAGATTAAAGTGGGCAAAGGCTGTTAATGATATTTGGAATGTGTACTGAAGATGAAACTGAGCTTATTTTTTCTTTTTTTTCCCTTTAGAGGCTTATTTGGTTTATGCGCCCATTTTGAAGCAAACAAGAAATAGGCTTATATCTCGGTCCATATGAATTTCTCAGACTAGATAGTGATACCGTTCGTTCAGACAAGAAATAGACCGAAAAGAAAAATGGAGTCTGTACTGAAACAGCTAAAACTAACAAGCTGATCTGCTGTGCTCATGCTTATAGAAATTATTATTTTTTGAATAAATTTTTAAAAAATAAAAATCGATTAGTGTTGATTTTATCGACTGATAACAATTAGCGTCGATCAAAACTTCTCCCTATTCTTTTATTTCGATTTAAAGAAAAATTTTGTCCTGGGTCTAGACATATGATCATGACTGTATGTATCAGCTACATAACAATAAACCTTTTAAATTTCGAAAACTTTTAAGACATTTTTAGTTTAAAATAATACATAGTAATTATTGACAGAATGGATGGAGATCAACAAAAATAAAAATTTAGTAGTATCAGCAATTATTTCCAAAAAAAATTTCTTTATTTACACCTCCTTGTCTATGCTGCTTGCCAAATTTTTTTCTATTTAAGGTAAAGCCCAAGGAAATCCTGATATTTTGTTAAATCCTCTCTTTTTTGAAAGTTTTCTCCAAAAATTAATTTTTTGCATCAAATATAAAGGATTTTTCTCTTTTCTTAATCCACTTTTGATTATACGAATAAATTCAATTGTTTTATTTTTAGATGAAAGAGAAGGCCAATCTACGCCAGGAGGAGAATTGGGAATTCTAAAAAATTAAAAACAAATTTTGTTAAATTGGCAGCTCTGGTATAGGAAATGAGTTTTATGAACTGACAAATAAATATTGCAATTTAACTAGTTATAATTCATTTTTTAAAATTCAGAAAAATACCTATACCTAGCCAAAATTTACTTAAATAATCTAACAGAAAATTAATCTCCCATTTAATTAGAAAAATATCTAAATACATAATATCCATCCATTTACAACAGACGCATAGTCCACTACCAGAGCCCAATTAGTATCTAGGGTATCCTGACTCAACTGAGTCCCGGCCAACTGAGTAAATGATTACAATATACCAAAAAATCAAAATCCACGACTGATCGATAAAGTTTTGAAAAATCACATTTTTTTAGAAATTTTATTTTTAGATCACAACTTCCTTATTAACCAGAAATGAATTGGTATATTGTTTCTTAAAGTCTGTATCCAGAACATTAAGAAGTTACCATTCCTTCAAAAGTTATAGAGCCGGAACTCAATTGTTCTGCTTATATTTAAATAAAAAAAATTTACCCGTTTTTTACAAAACTTCCATAAGCATACAATAACAAAGCTTGCACTTTTCTATCATCCTCATTATCTAACAAATAATTACCAAAAAGTGTTGGACCTAATAAATAAGGATATTCTCCTGCATGTACAACACCTCTAAATGGAAGTTTGGAAATATGTTCTTTATTTACATGATCAAATTGATAAAAAAATACAGGCCAATTATTAGCAGCTTTTAAACGTGCTTCTGCCAAAATTGGTATAACAAATTGAACATCGCTTAATAACTTTAAAAATAAAATTTAAAAATTGTGGTAATTTTGGAGTGGAGTCAACTGACTGAGCGCGAGCAGACAATTGTTGATTATAACTTTTTAAGTTCTGATCTAAACTTTATATTATATAAGTGAAAGCTTTTATAAGCGGCATCCTTCTCCAAAAGAATGGATCAAGTCTGATCACGCACTAAAAAGTTACCCGAGAGTGATCAGATTAAATCTATTCAGTTGGAAAAAAGATTATCGAAAGCTTTCAAATAATATAAAATTTATTCGGATTGGATCAAGAAAAAAAAGTTGTAGTCGATCAAAGTCTGCTAGCACCCAGTTGACCCATTCCAGTACCATTGTATATTGTTCCAAAAAATATCTCCAATCCCCCTTTCCAATATTCTTCTTTTGATATTCCAAATAAAAAGATTCCAATTCCTTGGCTATTTGTTCTGCTTCTTCTTCGGTTGCTTTTCCTCTTTCACGATGGATATAATTATGAATAAAATTGATCAGTTTGGAGCGATCAAATTGAGTAAAATTAACAATAGATAAGGGCGAATTCAAAGCAAAAACGGAGGAGGGATATTGAATAGCTAAAGGAAAAAAACGGGAATATTAAAGAAATGTTCAAAATAAATAAATTTGAATTAAAGCCCAGACTGGGAGGGCCCTACGAGATTCTCAAGCGAGATCTAAACTCATTCCGGGCTCAATTTGAATAATCTAAAACTTACAAAGAAACATTGACTCGTGTGAAGTAAATCCTATCATTGTAGGCTTTATAGGTGCTGTCTCCAATGCAGCTTTAATGTCATGAGGAACGAAATCATTGTCAAATCTTGGATTGTAAACGTTCATTGCAAACTTGTTTCGAACCAGTTCCTTAAAAATAATTTTTGAGTAATTTTGTGAAAGAGGATGGAAGGAGGAACGCGGAAGGGTGGAAGGCGGAAGCAGTATGGGACAAAAAACATATAAAAGCCGTTTTTATTTCTTACGAATTTCGATTCCCCGGACTCACTTTTCACAACAAAATATTTTAATTCTGTTGGCTACATAATGTTTATTTTTCTGTTGCTTCAAGGTATACAATATTTTTTAGAATTTTCTTCTATCCAAAAATTCATTATTTACAGATGCAAATTCTCAATTTATCCCGCTTTTGGTCATTTTGTTCTGGTCTACATTGGCAATAAGTATTCTTCCCGTTTGTTGCAAAAAATCAAAAAAGTCTTCGAAAACGAATAAATTGGCAAATGGAAATAGTGCAAAAGTAGTAGAAAGTAGATGCTTCTAATTTTTAATTTGTTTTTTATTTTTTCAGGCATCTTCTGACAGCAAAATGAACAAAAGGAAGAAAAAATCGGGAAAGAAAGAGGACAAACCAAAAACAGAAAATGACAAACAAAAGCAAACTTTTTCACAAGTACAAAAATTGAAGACAACATCAAAGAGTACAGCGGGCACTTGTAAGCCTGATAATAAGACTACTACGGGGGAGAAAAAGAAAGTTGAAGAAGATGAGGAGGACAAGTCTAAAGAGAAGAAGGAAAGAAAAAACTCTGAATTAAAAACTGCAAAAAGCTTCAAAACTTGCAGCAAATCAGAACTTAGCATGCCAAGCGAAGACATGATGAGCAAACATGAAGAAATTGTTGAGATTGTTGACGTTAATTTCATCATTTCAAGCAAGAATCTCAAACCTCCAAAAGGCCAAACTTCACTTAGTGTCTTCAATCAAATTAGAAAGAATGCAGCTCAACATTTGATGGAAGATATGTCATCATTACATGCTTATGATCAAGTTCCATTAATCGATCAAATGAGAATGCCCAAAAAAGGAAAAGGTCCAAAGAATGAATTAAAAAATAATTTATATTTTTCAATTTAAGAGCCAATACTAAAAGAAACAGAAAATACTCTTTATGTTTGTGATGAAGCTGATACAAAAACAACAGCAGCGTCAACATCAACTGAACCAGATTTGCCTAATATAATAGATTCGGGACCCGTAAGACGATGGAATAATATTGGTGGAAAAAATAGAAGGACGAAATATTGAGAGAGGTGTGAAAATAAATAAAGATTTTTGAAAGATAATTATGTAAATATACATATTATTGTTAGTTGTAGTAAAATATTTTTCTTTGTTATTTTTAAAAAGAAAATTCGGTACTTTTCCGTTTCTGCAAATTTTTTTCAGTTAGAAATTCATTTGGTTGTAAATACCACAATCACAGGTGTTCTCAATAATAGAGTGGTACCATTCGCTTACATTAACAAGACGAATTGAAATATATATAAATCGAAAGAACCGGCACAGGTTAAAGCACAGTCAAAAACTGTGGGAATAAACGGAAAAGTACCGAAATTTAAAAAAATCCCTTACAAGTTTCTGGATTCCTTCCACCAAATCTTCTACATCAATCTGTTTTAAACATTCTTCCTCAGCTCCATTTGTCGGACAACCAACACTTTTTAAAGTCTTCTTTGATGATTCTAAAACTCCCTCATTCAAAGCCCAAGGTGAAAAGAGGGATCCACTTTGTTGGATTGATTGTTGGAATAAATCTATTTAAAAATTTTAATTAGTTATTTACAAAATAAATTTAAAACAAAACCTCTTGTATATTTCGAAATGGAAAGTATAGATGTAGAGGCAGATCCGGCACTTTGCCCCCAAACAGTCACACGATTTGGATCACCACCAAATGTTGCAACATTTTGACGGATCCATACAAGAGCTTGATGTTGATCCCAAAGACCGAGATTTCCAGGATTCTTTTTTGTTCCGTCAGAGAAAAATCCTTTAAAGTAAAGAAAAATTTTTAATCTACTTAGGTTGGAACATAAATAATGAGCCCCTTTGAGCTAAACAAATTAGTAAATAAATTAATAAAATTCAACAAAATGTCATCAGCCGCTTTTAAATTATTTTTCATTATGATACTAAGGAAGTTGCCTATTTTCTGATAAAAAATAAGAATTATAAAAATGATTTGTCAAGATTTGGAGATAAAATACAAAATTTGTATTTTTTGAAACTAGAACTTTTCTCTACTTAATTAAAATGTAAAATTGAAAAATAATAGATTCTGATAAAGCAGAATACAAAGAACAATATGATACATATAAAAAATTACACTGAAAATTTTTTGAATTTCTATTAGCCCATTCTTAAAAGGATCATTTTTGGCAACGATGCCAGACTCGTTTTCGTGAATAATGGAAAATTAATTTAAAAAATACCTAGAAAATTGAGTCTATACTGAATTGTGATAACTATAATGCCTTGAGAGACAAAATTGTTTGCAATATTATTGTAGCCCTAAATAAAAGCATTTAAATTTGTTTAACCCAACAAATAACCTCAAGGAAAGTACCTCCAACACAAAAACCTCCTCCATGAATAAAAACAAGAATTGGAAATTTGTGTTGTTCAGGTGTGTTTGGAACTGTTCTTTTTTTATTTTCAGTAGTTGGTCTAAATAAATTTAAATAAAGACAATCTTCTGAATAATCTGGAGCAGCTAAGATATGTTGAGGAACACAAGCTGGTGGAATTGTTGTTGCTATAAATATTTAATTGATATAAGAAAGCTTCTTTTCTCAATCCGAAATCCAATCCTAAGAAAATTTTGAAAACCCAACCCGGAACCCTGACATTTCCTCAACCCGTTTCACCCACTATTAATACAAAAATTAAAATAATCCAACTAACCATCCAAAGTTCCATTCCAATTTTTTGGTGTTAAAGGTTTCTCCAAACGAAGCTTTTCAATTGGCGGTTGAGCAAAAGGAATTCCAAGAAATATATCGGCTAAACGATATCTTGTCTGTTGTGACAACAAAGATGGAGGTTCCAATTGAATACGAAATCCTCTAAGTTGGCCATTTTTTGTTTGAATATCAACACTTGGGAAGTCATTATTTTCATCTTCATTAACTTGTTCTTCTACATCTTCTTCAAAATTATCCTTTTTGATAAAAGTTGGCTAAACAAAAATAATTTTTTAATTAAAAATCCAATTTAATTTTACCTTTGTTAAAATAAATGTAAACAATAATAAAAAAGAAAATAGAAAAAACGTCCAAAATAGTGTAATTGCCATATAAATAATTTGTACCTAAAAATGAAAAAAAAAAGAATTGAAAAGGAAAATAAATTTAAAAAATTGTTTGGGAGGTTTAAATTGGAAGGGAGAACAATTTAACAGCGAAAACTTCCCACTTCCCTTTTATTTTTAACATTTTTAGTTTCGCGCAATAAATATAAAGAAAATTTAAAATAATTTAAACAATAATTTTATATAAAAAATATTTATAGTACACACACTATAAGTTTTTTATAAAGCAGAAACTACTATATAACCAAAATTTTTTCTTAAATTTTCTTTTGACAAAAATTTTATTTTATACCCTCAATTTAACCTTGAAATTCATCATTTTTTCATTTTTACAGACCATAATTTTATTAAAATTTACAAACCTTTTCCGTTCATTATTGTTACAATTAAATAAAAGTTTAAAAAAGTAGTTTGTGTGTTGTTTAAAATAATAAATTGAAACAAAGTTTTAAAAGAAAGAAGAAAAGTAGTAATAAAATACCACACACACGCACATGTAGTTTTTAAGAATAAAAAATTCAATCTAAATTATAAAAGTAATTAAATTTAAACAAAAATATTGGCTGATAAAGTACAAATATGTTATTAAAGACAAGATTAATATTATTGAATAAATTTATAAACTTAAAAAAACTTTGAAAAATTTTGAAATTTTTTTTGGAAAAACTGGCTCTTGTCCAGCTTACACGTCCCATCAACTTTATATGTCCAATGAAAAGTTTTTTGTTAGATTTTGTCAGCATAGTGTAAAGGTTGACTAGACGCGTAATTTGAACAAGAGCCAAAAAAAATATTTTCAAAAATCAATCTATATTCAAACCTCCTCCACTTCCACCAACTATATCCATTGGTTGTTCATCTTCATCATTATTATTTTCCATCAAGTCTTCTTCCTCTTCCTCCTCCATTTCTTTACTAAGAATTGAAGCAAAATAATTGTGTTCTTCAGAATCTATAATATCAACATCATCAGTAATTAATGCAGAAATATATGGATTGTGATCTTCGAAAGGCAACAGAACTTTAAAAAATAATTATTAATTTTCTAAAAATAAAAATAAATTTACTGTGACAATAAGGAGGAATTCTCTTAAAAACATAAGAACGTTCTGTATCCCGTAATTTGAGTTGTTCTTCACTAATAAGCAAATCTTGCAATGTTGAAGCACTTGTAGTCTTAAAATAAAGTTTATAATTAAAATAATATATCAACGTCAAATTTCAAAATTCTGTTCTTTGAGTCAATGGTTTGTTTTTTGTGGATCTATTTTAGTAAAGCAGAGCTGGGCTAGTTATTTATCCTTTGCAAAAGGTTATTCGGTGGCTGGTAGCAAACTAGCATCTCAGTTGACTAATGTATCAATTACACCACGCCGCATGCTGAACAGCCTTATGAATTAAATAGCTATAGCTTTACATTTTCATTAAATTCAATGTATTCCGGTAAAATCTATTAAAGGAAAAGAAAGCTTTACTCACAAAGAGTATAATGCGGTGGTGCGTATTTACCGATGTAGAATCAAAGAACAGCATTTAAAAACTTGACTGGTTTTTACCAATGTTTCAGTCTTTTTGCCCACAGAATTATTAGTTAATTTTAGAATATTTTTCTGTTGGTTATCATCATCCTCTAGTTCCATTTCTGTCGAGTCTGTTTTTTGTAGTTTTTGAACACTTTCTGGATCACCACCATTTCCATTCTCCAAAAACAAAATATCATCGTCTTGTTCTCCATTACAAATTTTTTGTTCATTTTTTTGTTGTTTAAGTAGATCTTGTTCCTTTTGCTTATGAAAAAAATTTCTTTTAATTAAAAATCTTTTTATTTACCACATCTTTAGACTCAAATTGTAGTCTCATTGACAATTCTTGAAATACACAAACGCTTGGGTAAACGGAAAGAGCATAATTTATCAAACTTTTTTCTGTGTCCCTCCTATTTGCTGCTGTTAAACAACGAACTTTTTCATAAGTATTGTCGATATCATCTTTGACCTAACATTAAAAATTAAATTAAAAAAAAATATATTCAAAAATTACCTCTGTGTGAATATATGTATGCGGATCTGGAAAAGGAGGCAAAAAATTCGGAAAATATGAAGGATGTGGACGTGGATCAGAAATACGTAGTAATGGAGGAGATTTTACTGGCGATTGAGATTTAACTGAAAATTTAGTTTAATTTGTTAACAACACGTTCAAGCAAAACAAGTTTATTTAAAAAAACCTGTAAATTGAGGAGGCGGTTTTGCCTTTTTAATTGACTGTAGAAACTCTGGAAATTTTTGGACATCAATTCCCGAACTTATAATTGCCATAAAAGCATCTCCAGGAGTGATAATTGAACGTCCAGTGTGTTCACAAAGTTCTCTACCAGAGCCGCAAATTTGCGTTAAATCTTTAAATTTAAATTAAATTGATCAAAATTAATTTTAAAAAAATATTTTTTACATTTGTGTGCCAAAGCAGTCAATACATCCAAAGCACTTGATTGAATACTAGTAAATCCAGAGATTTGACAAATTGCCGCAACTGATTGACTCAAAATTCGTTTATGTACACAATTAACTGTGTTGTTATGTGTAGGGGAAGTTTGACTTGAATTTGAGGTACTTTGCCGTGTTTGACTTCCATTCTCTATATCCAAATTATTTATATTTCCAATCATCAAAAAAAATTAATTTCTAAAAATTGTTTAGTAAATATTTAAGTAAAAAAAGTACTTGTTAAAAACAAGTGTATAATTAATAAATAGAATAAAAAAGAAAAGTTTAATGACTAACAAACAAAAATAAATTTTCTAATAAAAACAAAAAAAAACGAAAAGTCGGGAATTTTGAACTTTATATGACCCATTTATGTTTCCCCCTTAAATCTAACTCTACTCACCCAGAATTATGGTACACACGCACAGTACTGGACCATAGGTTTAAAATACAGAAATGGATACTTGCCGCCATAGATTTGGTGAGAAAATAAAAAAGGGGGTTATAAACAAAGTTCAAAATTTCCAAAAAAAACTTTAATTAAATACGAGTGTTTTATTGTTAATAGAATTATTTAAACCCTCCTGTTTGCTTGTTTGAGAGGATAATGTGCTCGAAAGTCCATTTCTTTTAATAAATGAATGGCAACATTCCAATGCGTAAAAATCAGAATTTTGAACTAAAAATAATTTTAAGAGTTTTGAATTTAATTTCAAATAAAAATAACCAGCTTTTAATTGCCATAATTCAATAAATTCAATACAAAATTTTTCTAAGCTTTTCAAATTAACTTTGTGAATTCTTTGCTTTCTTGGCTTGTTTGGACGAATCAAAACATCCTTTTGAGGATTATTCATTTTTCTAGGTGGCGCCCATATCCAAATCAAATTTTGAAAAATAAAAGGAGGCTGGAAAAAGCAAATTTTGATTTAATTAAAATTTTTTGGTTATTGTTCAGATTACGCGTCCAATGAAAAGTTTATGCGCTTAATCTATGGGGATAAGTACCCAATTCTTCGTGTCTACTTACCAACACACAAAAATTTGTTTGGATGCGTAATCTTTCATTGAACGCGTAAAGGTTCGATCTGGACAAGAGTCAAATTCTTATCTAGTAAAAAACCTTTCTTTCCTGTTCAGCAATTTTTAAAACTTGTCTTTCATCATTTTCTTTTATCATCTCTTCCAATTTTGCATCATCCAATATTTTATTTTCCAAGTTTTCCGCATTTTTTAATTTTCTTTCAATCATTTCAGCTTTTCTTTTTGCCTTCAATTCTTTTGTAAGTTCTGAAACAGAAAAGAAAACATTCTCCAATAATAAAGAAAACTGGTTGAAAAATTCAAGACAATTCTAATTTTAAATAATTTAAAGTTAAAGAATAAAAGAAACCTTTTCTTTTTCAATTGCTTCTTTAAATGGAACAATAAATGATGTACCAAAAATTGTAAACTAAATTAAAAAATAATTTTTAATCTAAAAATCGCAAATTAGGTACTTGTAGGGAGAAAATACCCAATAGAACTATAGCAGGATTTAAATCCAGAGTCAGGATTAACAAGGAGAGTTTGCGAGGTGTCCGAGCTAAAAACGGTCGAGACCGGGCTCATTCGATAGAGAATGTGCCCTTTCTAGCAAGGATTTTTTGCCGTTTTTGCCCGTTTTTTGATCTGGCCAAGATATGGCCTTCCAAAGTCCCAAAATTTGGCATATTTTCCCTTCTTCAAATATAAACTTTAAATAATGCACTAATTTTGTTGGCGCTGTGGTGTAGTGGTGAGTGTGCTTGCATTACACTTTTTCTCTAAAAAGTTCGATTCTTTTCGGGTTTTATTTTTTTCATTTAATTGTTTTAGACATTATTTATTTCGTTTTCAACATAAAAAAATTTTTTTGTAAATTTTTTAAAAATTTTTTTTCGAAAAAAAATTTTTTTTAACTTTATCCTAACGATTAATGGGTGGAGAGGAGAAGATTCCACGGGAAAATTCGATCATCCGATCCGTTATTGTTTTCCATTATCGTCCACTTTTGAATGTAATACATCTAATTGTTTTATTCGACGTGTCAGGTGTAGCAAATTCTAGTTTTATAGCAAATAAATTTTTTTTATTTTTAAAAATTTAAAAATAAGAAATAATTTTTTCAAAAAAATTTTTAATTTTCAAAAATTTTTAAAAAATTTACAAAAAAATTTTTTTATGTTGAAAACGAAATAAATAATGTCTAAAACAATTAAATGAAAAAAATAAAACCCGAAAAGAATCGAACTTTTTAGAGAAAAAGTGTAATGCAAGCACACTCACCACTACACCACAGCGCCAACAAAATTAGTGCATTATTTAAAGTTTATATTTGAAGAAGGGAAAATATGCCAAATTTTGGGACTTTGGAAGGCCATATCTTGGCCAGATCAAAAAACGGGCAAAAACGGCAAAAAATCTTTGCTAGAAAGGGCACATTCTCTATCGAATGAGCCCGGTCTCGACCGTTTTTAGCTCGGACACCTCGCAAACTCTCCTTGTAAGGCATTTTTTAAAGTTTTTTTATTTTTTCTTGACTCACAATCAGTCGAGAATTTGGTCAAAATTCACAACCAAAAATGACGGTCTTTTTAAGATTTCCTATCACTAGAAATACCCATTAAAAATAAAGATTTACCCAAACCTTTTTAGCAAAAATATTAGCTTCCTCAATATATCCAGTCCTCATCATAGCAATAACCAAATATGCAATAAAATCGCTCGCATTTAACAAAGTTTTGGATTCATGCCACAAAGAAGCTTAATTTAAAAAATAAAAAAATTCAAAATTTTTCAAAATAAAACCGATATTTTGTCTCAATTTGTATCCTTCAAAATTTTGTAATGAAAATTCGATAAGAGATAAAATGCCAAAAGTAGATTGTGTATTGTCTACAAACATCTTCCAAACATTTTGTGCATGGAAAAATTTACTAGAATTACTAAAATTTAGAAAAATAAAAATATTGTCGGAAACTTGTAAATAAATAAATAAAATTAATTTAGAGATTACAGGCCCCCATTTTCCTCTCAAAGTTTTTTTCCTATTAATGGTTCATATAAGACCAAAAAAAGTCAACCTTTCTTTTCTTTCGTCCAACAAAATAAAAATTAAACCTTTTTGATTGTTTGTTGGTAAAGAAAAAAAATAGGAGTTGAAAACTAAAAAAATAAAAAACAAGGAAAAAAACTTGGGGAGAAAAAGTGGATGTCCATAAACGACAATTTTACCCAAAAATTTTCAATTTTTTTTAAAATTATTTAAAAAAACCCTTTTTCCAAATTTTCATTAATTGCATTTTCAACAGCAAGTTTCATTTGCCAAAAAGGAAATCCTTCTTGCTGTAAATCTTCAATTGAAATTCTATTCAAAATTGAATTATTGATTAAATTAAAGCTTTGTTTTTCATTATTTTGTTTGGTAATTGAAGAAATATTTCTTTGAAAAGATAATTGGCAGGCAAATTTGGGAAAGTTTTTGAAGAAATAAAATTGAAGTAATTTTGTAGTTTTTATTAACATTTTAAAGCAAACTAAAATAACAAACTAAAATTTCTTTTAAAATCCGGCCAAACTCTAAATTGTTCTGCTTTAAATCTCCTGATCTGAATAGTCAATTCTGAATCGACCTTTTTCTCTAATTTTTCCTTTCACGTTTTGCCATCGAAGCCATATGGGCAAAACGCGAGCTTTTAGCCTCATTGGCAAAATATGGATTGGTAAATGTAGAACTATACTTCATTGGAGTTGTGCAAAAGACAATCGGACAAAACGAAATTGGACAAAAGGTTACCAAAGGGAAGATTAGACAATTCATAGAAAACGAAACAAAGTTTGCACATTAGTCAAAAAATTTTATTTTAATTTATGTAACGAGTTGTGAAATTTTATTTTTCAAGATCTCCCTATGTTTTTTTAGTTAATTTACAAATGATTTTTCTTGTTCGACAAAATTTAAAACTTCAACTTTGTTCAAAAAGGAATTATGTGCCTGAATATAATAAAAGGAAAACTGGTTGGATTTTGAGGAAGGCAAAGTTTGTTTAAAAAATTATTATTTTCTTTTAAATAAAAAAATATTTTTATTTTTAGTGGATATTTAGCTCGTAATCCAAACTTTTTTAATGTAATTATAATTAATTTAAACGAAAAATTTTTTAATTTTTAGAATTTTATAGTTTATGGGTTTACCGGTTTTATGGCTGGTTATTGGTTTTATAACAGTTATCAAGAAAAGCAAATAAAGAAAACAATGACAGAAGAGGAATATATAATGTATAGAGAAAAGAAGAAAGCTCTTAATGAACAAAGAATGAAATATGGTTTTTATTTTTTTGGAGAATATTTGTTAAATTTAAGGGGTAAAAACTTGCTTTTGAGGGCACAGCCTCCGATATTGTCTATTTACATGACGAGGTTTTTATCTGGGCCCATAGTTGAGACCGCTGGCCGATTTTGATGTCGATCGACTCAGCTCTCCGAGCCTTTCAAATGTTTAACCATATCGAATTCTGGGTCCTCAAAGCAAGTTTTCCCCAATTAAAAATCATCCAAAATTTCTCTCTTATTTAAATTTTAAAAGATTTTTTTTAATTTTAGGTACGGATCTCTACATTCCTTTTCTTACCAAAAAAGTTGAAAATGAAAGGATAGACGAGATTTACTACAAAAGTTGAAAAATTGCTGTTTGTTTGTTTTAAATTTTAAATCAAAAAATTTTCAAACTTTAGAATAAAGCAATAGGTCAGTAAATATGTACTTAATAATTAAAGCAAGGTATTAAATTTATGCACGAGAAAAAAAATTTGAGAAAAAGTTCCGTTTGTATAAAACGGAAAGTCAAAAGCGGGAAAATGAAAAAAACCATTTTTGTTGTCGTATATGCTAAAATAATTAACCAGAGTAAATATTGGTTCAACCTCGCACTGGAGGGAGTAATTAACAGGGAGGAGGGTAATTATTTGAGCATTTACGGTATTTACTTATAGTTCAACTTTATTAAAAATAAACGTAAAATATTAATTTATTTCTTTTAATTTAATGTTGTCCCATTGAAGTTTCGACAGATAAAAAATTTGGTCCTCTTTGTAAAGTTACATTACCTTGAGCTATAATTAAAAAATAGTCACTTTCAAATTTTAAATTATCAATCTAATTGTAAGACTCTTGGTTTCGAGTTTTTACTCAAAAATTTTCTTGGGTTTTTCAGTTTTAAAATCCAGTTTTGGGTCTGGTTTTGGAAAAATTTTGAGCTTGGACAGCTCTATAAATAGAATAATTTTAAACTAAATACCACTAGTAAATATAATATTTGGAGTATTTGGAATTGGAATATTAATTGGTTGGGGTTGTTGTTGTTGTGCTAAAGCTTCAGAAATTGCTGAATTTGTTTGTTGTAATTGTTGTTGAGCAGTTGCAATTGGATTATTTAATTTATTCATTGCATCGGAAAAATTATCTTCAAAAAATATTTTTTTTTAATTTAAGGAAAAACCTCTTTTTCGTCTCAGTTTTGGTTTTTCTAAACTTTTTTTATCTTCTTTTGATCCACTATCTTCTTTAGATGCTTCAACATTAGTTTTGTCAGTTGAAGCTGCCGAATTTGCTATTTTGTAAAGAAAATTATATATTTTTTGTTGGATTGTTTGTCCAACAAAAAATATATAGACCACTCACTCATATAAGGGAAAATAAAAAATATTTCTTTCAATTTTTCTATTGATACCAAGTACGAGAAGTCCGAGTTAACCACCTCTATTTCTGACCTCGTACTTCGTACAAAAGTACAAGTATGAATTTTGGTATGGGCTTATAAACACCGTAGAGGAACTCCGACCTGCTAATGCGAAGTGATATATTTTTCTTTCAAGATGACTGGGCCGAGTTATGGTCAGTCAAACTTCGCTATAGGAAGTCAAGGGTTCTCTATCGAATGGTACCAAACAATACATCAAACTCTCCCTCACAGTAAACAATGGCCCCCTGCTAGGGAGATCAAAACCAAAAGATTGTGTTGATCCCTTTAAATCTTTAGGACTCGCATTTTTATTTTTCAGAAAAAATTTTTTCGTTACCTCCGCCAAAATCTTCTTCCACATAGTTTGAATTACGTTGAACGGCATAAATTAGTAATCTAGTTGGAATTTTGTCTGGAAGTTTTTGTGTATTATCAACTTGTTTTTTATCTTCCAAAACATTCGGAATATTATTTTTACTTCCTTCAATTTTTTCATTATCATCCCTTTCCTCGATTGATTGGGAAGAAGAATCAGAACCATCAGTTAAAATAGACCTTTCTTGTTTTTCAACATGTTCGGTTGAATCTTTCGAGATAATCTTATTTGTCTCATTTGGATTTTGTGTTGAGACATTAAAATTTGTTGTTGTGTTTGTTGTCATTTCTGATGAAGTTTGAGGAATTAATGTTATATTTAAAAGCGAAGGGGTGGAAGTGTTGGAGACGGAAGAAACTGTTGTTGTATTAATGTTGTTATCATCATCAGCTAGAATAGGCTAAAAAAAGGCTTTAAACATTAAAATTGAGATATTACCCCTCCTGTTGTCGAATTTAGTTCAACATCCAGTAAAGTCAGATTTTTCATCACCGGAATAGTACTAGTCACGTTATCTCCATTATTAGTTGGCAACTAATTTAATAAACATTTTTTAATAAATTAAAAATATAATTAACTGTTGTGACCACATTTGGTATTGTGGTAGTTGCGGGTGGATCATCAGTAGTGGATGTTGAAGAGTAATCTATTTATGAAAAATTATTAAATATAATTCTAAATTAACCTGTCTGTGAACAAGTAATTTTCCAGAATATTGGCAAGAGTAAAAATATTAAAAATAAATTTGGCATTTTTGTCGTTCAAATCGCTGAAAATAATTTAATTAAAAATTATCAATTTCAATTTTTAATTATTTTATTAATCCTGACAAAATTTTATTTTTCCATCTTTTTATTCACATTTTTAACAACCTTGAATTCATATGCCAATAAATATTTTTTCATTTTTTGTGTTCATTTTTCCAATAGAAATTCGTACAAATCCTCTTATAATATTATCCATTATTTATCCTCTTTTAAAAAATTTCTGTTTAAATACTTTATTCCCTCTCTTTATTTTTCAACTTGTTTTCATTCACGCAATTTTTTCCATTATAATAAAAACAATGTTATTTCGGCGTAGAAATGCAAGTAAAGCAAAAATATCGAGTATCTGCGCCGAAATAGGTTGACAAGTTAAGCGCTATAATTTTGGGCAAGAGGAGATAATCAGTTCGCGCATAAAATTTTATGTAAGTCTTATTAAATGTTTACAATTGAGGGAACAAAATATGGACAATAGAAATATCAATGAAAAAATAAAATTATTTTTGTCTGACTTAAAGGTCCTCTGACGTGATTTTTAAATTTTCCGGATATCCGAAAAGAAGAATAATGCTAAAATGGTGGGAGCAGGCTATAACTTCATTCAAATAACGCAAAGCAAGGGTCAAAATCTAACGCAAATAAAAATGGACAAGAAAATTTTAGCTATAATTGTTATAATGATTTGAATGGATAGTGACTTGAACGGATATAAGGGATCGGGGTGTCGGTACATCGGGCGACACCCCGGCTACGCCCTTGCCCCCAAATAGATCTAATAATTTTTCTAACCTTGTATTAAATCAAAGTTATTCTTGTATTTAATTTCAAAAAATAAAACAACAAACTGAAAATTCAAGTACTTAGGGTGTAACATAAGTTTTGATACCCGACCATGTTTTTCGATGAATAATTTAATGGATATGGATGTTCTATATACCATTCGAAAGCTTAATTCGTATCTCGTTTGACATGTTTCAGCGTTTTTTTAAAAAATTTAAAACTTCGTAGATATACACGGGTAAATGGGATATAGTCGGATATGCCAAATCCGGATCCGGCTAAATAAATTTTTTACAAAAGATCTAACATAATATGATTATTCACAATAATTTTAGAAGCCAGAATCAAAAAAAATCAGGGCCAAATCTTTTTCCTAACCCAAGATATGAATTTTTAAAAAACGGGAATTTTTCACTTTTTTATAAAATTATTTGGTCGCTAAGAGCAATTTTTCTCATTTTGTCACACTTTTGACAAAAATGTTAAAAAATATGTGATTTTCAAAAAATCATATCTCTGCTCAGACACAAAATTTTTAAATTTTGTTTTTTTAACCTAACTCAGAAAAATCCACGGAATAGTAATAAATTAATTCAACTTAAGTAAAAAATTTATTTAGCCGGATCCGGATTTGGCATATCCGACCATATCCCATTTACCCGTGTATATCTAAGAAGTTTAAAATTTTTTTAAAAAACGCTGAAACATGTCAAACGAGATACGAATTAAGCTTTCGAATGGTATATAGAACATCCATATCTATAAAAGTATTCATCGAAAAACATGGTCGGGTATCAAAACTTATGTTACACCCTAAATAATTTAAATTTATAACTTCCTTTCTTCTTTTTCCTTTTTAAAAATAAGTGTATTATTATCAAGCCTTGAAAGTATTGTAGATAATTCTTTTGGTAACCTTGTATTAGCACAACGATAAAAATGTGCTATGCGATTAAGTGCAAATCTAAAATGTCCAAAATCCCTTCCTCTATGCCTTTTTCTATCCAAAATAAATTTCCATAACCATTCAAGTTTATCTAATTGTTCATTCTTTCCTTAATTTAAATAAATTAAAAATAATAATTTTAAAAAACCATAAATTAAAGCCAAAGTCTCATAAAGCATTGCAAGAAGAGGAAGACTTCTATTTATAAAATCAGGCATATCCACAAGTGGTTCAATAATGGTTGGCTAAAAAAGTATACCAATTTATTGATTCTGGTTTAGGACAAGTACCACATGAGAATACATGGGAGACGCATGTCCTAAATCAGGGATAGTGAGAGTGGAGCGGGGTTCGGACCGGGTTCTCGTCAGAATTTTCGAATCGGTTTTGAGTCCTGAATTGCAAAAAAAAATTCCAGATGTTGGGTAACCTGTAACATCCCTGCCCCCCTCCCCCAATACCACCCCCATTTTTAGTCTAAAAAATAATTTTAAACAAACATTTTTCGTTGAAGTAGCTATCCGACAAATATATTCAATGTGATTGCTGTTTAATTCGACTTTATTAATCTAAAATCAATAAGAACCAACAAATAATTTTAAAAAACCTTCAAATAATCAAAGAATTTTACAGCCCGACTATCAGACATAAGAACAGCCCCAACAAAGCTACAACGTTTTGTTAAAGACAAATCTTCAATACAATCAAGAACTAGAAATAAACAATTTTTATTTAATTTTAAAAATTAAAAACAAACCGGAATTTATTCTCTCAATTAACAAATTATCAATTTCTTTTTTATTTATTCCTTCATAATAAAACTCTTGCAGAATTGAAAATAAAGAATTTATAAAAACATTTTTGTATTTATTTAAATTTTTGTCATCCAAAATTGTTTGATTATAAATAGATAAATAATTTGAATATTTCTTTGTTGCTGTTGAACTAAAAAATGTTTTTTTTAATTTTTATTTTAGGAAATTAAAATGTCGAATGATTATAATTAGAGCTAGTATTTTTAGGCACTAAAAAACTGGCAAAATAAGAACCAAAATCAGAAAAAATAGGCAAGAGCCGCAAAAACACGTAGGGATAACGGACTAGCTTATTACCCCCTTTTATTCTCTCCCCCCCTCGCTCTAAAAATTCACAAATATCATTCCAACAAAATAAAATAACTAACCTTATATTAACAAAATTAACACAATTTTCTAATTGTTTAAGTTTTTCTTTTTTATTATTTTCAATCTCTATATTTTGTTGCTGTAAATTTGATGAATTATTTGTTGAAAATAATTTAGAAATAAATTGTGAATAAATAAATAAATTTAAATTATTATTAAATCGAAGTAAATTGTTGTTGAAAAATAGTTGTTTTGTATTTTTAAACAGTAAATTCATTTTTATATAAATAAAATAAAAATAAAAAATTAAGTAGAGGTCGGCAAAATCGCACTTCCGGGATCCCGAGTCGGGATTTTTTTTCTTAACCGAAACCGGGCCGGGATCCCGAGGGATAAATCCCGAAAAAATCCCGAATTTCAAAAATCCCGAAAATAATTATCCGGGATCCCGCCCGGGATTCGGGATTTTTTTAAATAAAAAATTGGCAATCCAGGAGAATTGGGGTCCCTGCGGAAAAAAATCTTAAAAATAAGAAAATGGATTTTTCTAGAGTAAAAAAATATGCTGATTACGAATCTGAACTCGGATTTTGGAAAAGTCGAATCCGAACCCGAATATAGGTCCTCGAATATCGAAAACCCATAGGGGGGACCAAGCTGATTTGGGGTGAAAAATTCGAATATGCAAATTATACCTCATTCGAAAGAGCTCTTCAAGCTGAGTCGAATGACACCGAAATTACCGTGATTGAACGAGATCGGACGAAGTTATACCACATAAAACAAACAACGTAGGCCTATGTTTTTTTTGTCATAACTTCGCCTGATCTTGATCAATTGCGATGATTTTGATGTCATTCGACTCAGCTCGTCTAGCTCTTTCGAATGAGATATTATTTGACCAATTTACGCTCTGTTTATTTTTCAAAATTTTTCCCAAAATGTCAAATATCCGAATTTCGGGTTCGGGATTCGACTTTTCCAAAATCCGAGTTCAGATTCGTAATCAGCATATTTTTTTACTCTAGAAAAATCCTTTTTCTTATTTTTAAGATTTTTTTCCGCAGGGACCCCAATTCTCCTGGATTGCCAAAAAATTTAAAATTTTTATAAATAAAGTGCATCAAAATACTGCAATTTATATGTAAATAATATTAAATTTGTAAAAATCTAATAGATTTAAAGGGATATCTGTGGATTAATAACTAGGTCCCTTGATAAAATCCCACTATATACTAATCCATCCACTTTACCTACGATAATACCCCCAAATTTCTCTCATTTTGAGAATTTTGGAGCACATGAAGCCAGATTTCTTCCATTTTCAGCGCCGCAGGCGAAAATTTTTAAAATTTCGAAGACCGTAGGCAAAAATAATTCACTTTTTTAGCGCCGCAGGCAAAAATTTTGAGAATTTTGGAGTTCCTTAAGCCCGGTGGGGTACCATTCCGTGTGGCGGTTTCCGTGCGGCGGTTTCCGTGCCAGACCAGTTCCGTGCCTGCCCAGTTCCGTGCCTTCCCAGTTCCGTGCAGCCGGTTCCGTGTACGTTGTAAAAGGGGAGGTTTCCGTGCACAATATTTAAATATATGAAAAACAGGGGTTACTCGTAGATTTTTTTTGTTTTTCTTACTTTCTACGATCTAAAGAACATTTTAAAATGTAGCCAAGTCTTGACTCTAGGCTTTTCTTGGACTTTTTCGGGCTTAGGGGGAAGTCTTTGTCGCGACTTTTTTCCTTCAGGGAACAATTAAAAAACGAGTCAAATACACAAAAATTTATCAAAAAAATAAATAAAAGTCAATGTCCTCGTCTCACTTATTAGATTTGTGGCCCTAAAAAGGGCCGTTTGGGTTGAGGTTGGTGTTGACAAATTCCATCATTGCTGCCATTCCTTCCGAAATTGTCTTGAAGGCTCGTCAGTCAGATCACCAGCAGCAAACTGCACGGACACGTCGTTGACAACTTCTAGAAAATTGATCTTAAATAAAATTTTTTTTGAAAAATTTCAAAATTAAAAAAATACACTAAAAAATTTAGAATAAAAACTAAAAAATTTAATAAAAATGCCAACCTTATTAATTTCCCCATTGCTGCAGCCGTAGGATGGAGTTCGGCACACATCAAACAAGGTTTGACTAAACAAAAAAGAAAATTTTAAAAAATCAGAAATATCAACTAAAAATTAGAACAAATAAAATTTGTGCACGGAAACCTCCCCTTTTACAACGTACACGGAACCGGCTGCACGGAACTGGGAAGGCACGGAACTGGGCAGGCACGGAACTGGTCTGGCACGGAAACCTTAAGCCAGATTTCCGCCTTAAGCAAGATTTCTTCATTTTTTGTGCCGCAGGCGAAAATTTTGAGAATCACTAGAGTAAAAATTATAAAACAATGTTCCCATTTTTTGTGCCGCAGGCGAAAATTTTGAGAATCACTAGAGTAAAAATTATAAAACAAATTATAAAACAATGTTCCCGAAAATTATAAAACAATGTTCGGGATCCCGAGTCGGGATTTTATTTTTTAACCGATGCCGGGACGGAATTAAAAGAATTATAGAAATTAAAGGCAGTTTAAAGGCTTTAATTAAGGTTAAGGGGGATTAAGGTTAAAAGGGGATTAAAAGGGGATTAAAGGTTAAATTAAATCAATTAAAGGCGCAGCAATTTAATTTACTATAAGTAAGTGCATTAATTTTCCAATTTTGTTCTACGAGTTATTTCAGTAACGGTTGGACTAAATTCGGATTGGGACTTGTGCGTGTCCAGAATTAAAGACTCAATTGTCCTTTTTCCTTTTAACGGACAATTGACCACTGGACAATTGGACACATTAACAATTGAACATTGGACAATTAAGGTGGTTAAGTAGGTTTCTGTTCTACAACTTTTACCTTAAAAATCAAAATTTGAATTATTATTTATGTCTTTCGGTTATTTTTCTATTAAATTACTAATCTTTTTTATATTTAAAAACCAGATGTTTTTTTAATTCTTTACAATTACTCCTATGAACGAGTTTAACAAAGGGAATGGGAGAAATCATTTTCATCTTGTATTTATTACGCTTAAACATAAAATTAAACTTTGTACTTGATTATTTATTTTTTCCTTCCTTTTATTTTCAATTTAATTATTTATTTAGAGATTATTTCTTTAAATTGCTTTATAAAAAATATGGATATTGAAGAATATGTTAAGAATTTGGTAAATAAAGGTGAACAAATAGTTTTTTAAAGTTTAATAAAATTAAGAGATGGTCAAGGAAATTTAAAAAAATTCTTTGAAAAATTCCTTTTTTTCGTCCTGGTAAAGCCTTGTTCTTAATTTTGATTGAGAAAATTGATTAGATTATTGACCTCAAGTGATTTTTTCTGAATCCAGAGTTAAGATCAAGGCGTTTTCTGGTAAAGATACCTTTTGAAATTCGAAAGCGTTAATCTTGACTCTGGCTCCCGGGAAAATCAAAGCCTGGATCTTTGCCGATAACTAAAAATTAATTTCTTTTTAGAAATTGAACAAAAAATTGAACAACTTAAAGAAGAAATTCGCTCTGGCAAATTATTTACTTTACAACCTCCAACATCGAATACTACTTCAAATGAGAATACTTCGACTGATGTTTCTGAGCCAAAACAAAATAATTTTAATGAGGGTCGTCCATCGAGTACTGTGTAAGTTTTAAATTTAAAAAGTTTATTTTTCCACCTTTTTTCACCTCTCCTATGCCACTGGAACAAATTAACCTCTCGAAAGGTCTACGGCGTCCCAACTTTCTTTTTAGAATATATGCCACTGTTCAGTGTACAAGTAATAGAACCCGCAGCTGCGGTTTCTATTTCCAGAGTAACAACCCAGAACTCGGTGTTAGCGCTACCCGCTTTTCGGGGTAAGGGTTCTGGGTTAACCTACCCTCGAGCATAACTTTTGTATTAATCAATCGAGTAATTTGATTTTTTGGTATATTGTGGTGTATTTAATCATCCATTAGTACCAAAAACATAAAGAAGTGACCATCCATCCCTTCGTAAGTATAGAGTTCAGCACTCAATTGAGTTGTACCCTCCTCCTCCTTGTTAATCTTATGGCAGCAGCAAATAAAGGGGAATTATGGGAGAGATGACAAAAAGGTGTCACATAATAAATGTCAATTTTACCACAAATTTTTTATTTAAAACCGTTAATTCCTTTTTAGAAAGCGTTATATTCCTCCAAGTATGCGTCAACGTACTCGTGAAATCGTTGATTTGCAATTGGAGAAAGACAAACTTCGTTATAGCAGTAATAAAGAAAGGATTCCTTCTTTGAATGAATGTTTTTCTCATTTAAATATTTGTGCAATTAATCCAAAAGCTGGCAAATGGAATACTTCTAATTCAGTCAAAACAACGGCAAAACCTTTACTTACTTCAATTATTCAATATAATTTGGATATTTTTAAAAATGTTGAAGATAAAAGGTCTGCTGAGGAATGGTTTAATTATGCTGAGAAAAAGTGTGAAAATGGAGAATTTTGTTTAAATCCGCTTATTAGTGTGAGAGAGGTAACTAATATTTTTTTGTAATTTTTTGTTTCCAAAATAGTTTTTATAAAAATAATCCATTTGGCTATACTTTAACTTAAAATGTGCCAAAAGATAATAATATACTTTTTTTTTGAATTTAATTTTTGGTATTTAACCGTTATACCCCCAAAAACTATTCACAATAGTTTACTGTATTCCCATAAAATCTTGTGGGAATACAGAGTTAAAAAAGACCAGCCCTTGGGTTTTAAAATTCAAAGTTGAGTACTTAAGCCATAAAGGCATTTTTTTATTTTTTGAGATAAATACCTAATTTTTTTAATCTTTAGACTTCGCGTGTTTCCAAGTCTGAGGTTAATCTTTCCAACCGTTTCAAATTTTGATTTTGACAAGAAAGGAGGTTAAGGATAAGAAAGAGGTTTTTAGGAGTTATTCTTTAATTATAAATTAGGATTTCATTTTAAAAATTTTTATTCCCTTCCATTTTTTGGTCCTTGTGTCGTTTCCCTCCCTTACCCAATTTTTTTTAATGTTTAAGATGGTCAGACTTTTTTCTTCCATAAATTCACTTTATTTTCTCTGAGCATTATTATTCCCTGTAGCTTATAATGTTTTAAAGAAAATCGGGTGAGGGAGGTTGACTTGTTAAAAAAATTTTTGGTAGAAAACTTGTTATTTAAATTTTAACGAGAGAAAAAAGGCATTTTCGGAATAAAAAAACATCTTTTTAATTTTTTTAGAATATTAATTTAAATATTTTTATGCCAATTCTCTCTCGTTAATGGATTCTTTCCTCTGTCTCACTTTGACACGTTTTTTGTGTCTTTTTTGTAATTAAACATTTAATAAATATTTAAATTGTTTTTTTAGTTTTTTAGAGAGATTATTTCGTGTAAAATATACATTTGTTAATTATTATATAAAAAATAATTTTTTTTTAATAAAAACAGATTTTATATATTAATATTTCTGATGAGTTTGACTAGCTACAATTTATTCCCACAATTAAACTATGAATTTATCCAATGTTGTGGAACACCATACTTTCTACAGAGTATACGCCCAACGTTGGATTGTTTTGACTGCTGTGTGTCTTTTAGCCTTGTCTAATGCTACGGTTAGTTTTTAATTGAAAGTGGTCAACATTGAGGATCTGCACCCGAAATGCCGTGAAGCTTTGAAGATTTACAACTTTTGAAAGGGAATATAGATGGATTTGGAGGAATATTTGTTATGATCAAGGGAATGGAGAGATCTCTATTCACTGAGATTGTGAGTAATACCGGACACAGATCTGTCTACTTATTTCCATAGAGCTGAGTACTTATCCCCCTTAATCCCTCAATATTCCTTTTCAAAAGTTGTAGGTCTCTAGGGTCAATAGGCATTTAGGGGTGGATGGACTCAATTTAATTATTAATTTAAAAATTTTTCTTAAGCAATGGATTGCGTTTGCACCACTCCACGATGCTGTGCAGGATTTTTACTGTATTAATTTTATTAATAACAACAGCAGAGGTGAACTTGAGGAAAATGGTAGTGGATGTGATGTTGAAACTTGGATTTCACAAATTTTCCAAATTGTTGGTGTTTTGACCGGCCTTTTTGGGATGTATATAACTGATCGTTACGGAATTCGTGTTTCGGTATTTTTTATATTTTTTTCCAAATTTATTTTTCTTATTTTTCAGTGTCATTTGGGAGCTGCTCTAAATTTGTGTGGGGCAATTATTCGTTTTATCTCCTCATTGCCATTGCTAGAAAAATCCGCTCGATTACCTTTACTTTATTTTGGACAAATAATAGCAGCAATGAGCCAACCCTTTTTTCTTTGCCTTTCGCCTAAGGTTGCAGAATATTGGTTTGGAGAGGATCAACGTGCATTGGCCAACTCACTTTCATTTATTGGTATAAACATTTTTTTGATTATGTTTGTGATTTCCTTTAAAGAGTATCTACATATAATTCATTTCATTTTCTCCTTTAAAGGAAAGAAGGGAAGCAAACATTGGTCAAGGAAATCTATGGCGAAGTACCCGGCTCTGCATTTTAGAACTTATGATCCGATATCGTGCGCGTGTATCATACTTTGTACTACTGTTCGGCAACTGGGTTTTTTCCGGTACCGGTAACAGTAGTACACCGAAAATTCCTAAATCTGAGAGGTACGGTACCGATAGTACAGCTCCGGTGCTGACGGTAGTACCGCAGTGCCGTACACTACTTTGTATTCCCAAAAAATCTAATTGGAGTAGAGAGCTCTATTCACCCAGTTATGGTACACACGCAAATATCGAACCATAAGTTCTATAAAAAGCAGAGCTGGGTACTTATCGCTATAGATTTCCTTGATCCTACATATTAGCCTTCCTTTCTTTAAAGGAGAAAATGGAGGAAGCAAAATAAAGGGAAATTGGAGGAAATAACTAGATAATAATGAACTTAATTTAGCTAATCCTTTTGGTGTTTTTCTTGGATCAATCGCCCCTCTAACTTTTAGTTTTCTTTTTGGACAAAAGTCAAGCAGTCCACAACAAACAGAATTACTCATTCTCTATGTGGTATAATTTTACTAAATTTTTTGGCTTAAAAAATTCTCATTTTTTAAGAATTTACTTTTGATGATACTTTCTGCATTTACAATGATATTTTGTTTACTTGTCACAAGACAAAAGCCATCAACCCCACCTTCAGCTTCTTCAGATTGTGATAAACCCGAATTTTCTAACGGACTTTTTATTTTATTTAATTCTCGTACTTTTCTTATTCAAACACTTACTTTTGGAATGGCTTTTGCCCTTCAATGGTTTTAAAAATTAAAAAAAAAAGACCTCAATTTTTATTTTTAAGGTCAATCTTCTTTACTGCTTCCAAACAACTTGTAGTTTTAGGTTTTGACAACAATAAAGTTTTTCTTCTTAATTTTTTTTATTAAAATTTAATTTAAATTATAAGATAAATTCTGGTGACCTTCTAGCTTCTTCTGCTTTTGCTGGCACTCTTTCTACTATTTTTGGTGGTTGGATAGTTGACCGTACTAAAAAATTCAATGAATTTATTAAATGTTCATATATTGGAATTGCCATTACTGCAACTTCATTGAATTTTGTAAGAAATATTCGATGGAGGGTTGGCGAATTCTGGGAAATCTTTTGATATCCGAACAGAAATTTTTGGATATCCTGTCTTTATTTGGATCCGCCAACCTTAATTTGTTATCCAAAGCAGACGTGGGCGAAACGTTTCGTTTCGTTTCGTTGTTTCGTATGTTTCGTATGATTTTTACTGTTTCGTCTCGTTTCGTTACGAAACACTTTTAAATTTGTTTCGTTTCGTTTCGTTACGAAACACCTGTGATTTTTCAACGAAACGAAACAATTTTTTAAGCCTAAACTAAGGCCAAAATCTATAAAATTTACCATCTTTTATTGAAAATTTAAAAAATTTTCGCCTGCGGCGCTGAAAAAAAAAGAATTTCGGCTTCTTGGCTTTCCCAAATTGTCAAAATTTTCGCCTGCGGCGCTGAAAAAGGAAGATAGCAATTACTTATATACTACAAATCCGTTTATACTCCACTCCCTAATCCACATATACATATTACTTAATCGACGACAAATTCTATTACCGGACTCGCATCATAATTTAAAAATTGCGGATTGCGAGTTGCGGAAATACTGGAACCTGAACTTCCGGCGAAGCACTAGCTTATATCGCCTTCCTCTCGAAATGGAGATATGGAGACAATTTGGGTAGGCAATGGAGCAAGATAGTGAATTTTTTGGCCTACGGCCTTTCAAAATTTTAAAATTTTTCGTCTGCGGCGCTTAAAATAAAATTTTACTTGAAAAATATTCAATTTTATTTAAAAAAAAGCGTCGCCAAAAATTTGGCTTCGAAAATGATTGACCCCCCCCCCTTCCCCGAAAATTTTCCTTGCTACGGGCCTGGCTTATGGGACACAATTGTTGTAAATAAACCAATAACTAAATCATTTATAAGTCATAGTCGACTAATAACGTATTTGAGGTCGAATAATTTCGAAATAAATGCAGTTTTGAAAATTTTTTGAATATTAAAATGTTTCGTTTTGTTTCGTTTCGTTTCGTAAGATTTTGGTTGTTTCGTTTCGTTTCGTTAACGAAACGATTTTTAAAAAATTTTGTTTCGTTTCGTTTCGTCAGAAAAAAATTTTGAGTTTCGCCCAGGTCTGATCCAAAGTATCTTTTCTTAATTTCTTTTTCAGTTATTGCGCAATCCTTTAATATTTGATAGAATATTTGTATTAATTGATCTGTTTATATTTTTTACAATATTAGGAATATTTACTATTCCTGTTTTCCCAATAAGTCTTGAATTAGGAGTAGAAAGCACATTTCCAGTTGCAGAAGCTTCTTCTTCTGGAATACTTGTTATTGCTGGGTTTGTTTTGAAAATTTTGTTTAATAATTGAATAGAGCATAAATTCTAGGATTGAATTATTTAATGGGATGAGGTAATACTTGGGGGTTAACCCACTGGATCAAAACCTTAAGAAGACCCATATAGGAAAACAACTTCTAGTGATGATCTTTAAGAAAATTAGGGTACTTTATGGATACCACTCCCCCTCCCCTAATGTGAGTATCAGTTATTCTTTCCTTAATTTTGGTTATATCTGAACAAGCAAATTTATTTTTTTACAACTCCACTTAGGAGTAGAAAGTTAGGAGTATACATTTTTTTATACATTTTGCTTGAAGAGTATAAACGATAGGAAAGAGTAACTGAGACTAAACTAGGAAGGGGATATCCGTTAAGTACCGAAATTTGATTTCTAGGATAGTTTTATATCAATATTTACAGACAACTACAACTATTTTTGCTAACTTTTACTATGCAGTCCTTAGAATCTGCTGATTGGATATACGGAGATAAAAGAAATTATAAATGTAAATTTTATATCCTTTTGGAAAAAGTCAAACTAAAATTTAGTGGCAATTGATTTCTGGACATTGAGTGCAGTATTAGGAGCTATTTTTGCGTTTTTACTTCTACGACCGAGGTTTGAAATATATTTTTATTTTAAAATTATTTTTAAGATATAATCGACTGGAATATGAACGAAACGTTAAAATTCAAATTAAGGAAATATAAACACAAAATTTTAACATTATTTACCTAAATGTATTCAAAAAAACAAAAACAATATTCAGAAAAATATTTAAATATCATGAGGAGTATCTGGAGAACTTACACGCTTTCTTTCAAAAAAATTGCGAACTTTTGGACTTGTAAACCAACTACCAATTGAATGAAGTTTTTGCCCAATAACTCCCCTTTTTTGATTTTGATAATATTCACTATTAGCCACTAATTCGTTGATTAAGTCTGCATCGATATCCAGTTTGCTGTGAATTCTAAAAATTTAAAATTTATTAGTTCTGGAAGCTATCCCCCATCTATTTATCAGCGTCTTTATCAAAAAATATAAACCTGTTTCTGGCCCATGCCATAGAACACACAACAATACCAGCAGCTGCAATATTTACTCCAGCAATAACTGGTAATTTACGCCAGACAGAACGAGTACATTCAAAAGTTTGAGCAATTAAATCAAAAACACTTCCAGTTGGTAATTTACGCATTCCAAGTTTTTCGCGATGACTGAGGAACTGTGGATGTATTAAATTATTCTCTATATATAGTTATTAACTTACAGCACTATTAGCAATAGGAGGAACAGAAAATAAAGGTATTAACATTCCCATTCCAAGAGATAAAGCAACAGCTCTTCCAGTTAAACTTAAAGTAGAAAGTTGTCCTTCATACATCAAATATGGATAAAAAATAAATGTCATTGTAAGCATTTGAGAAATAAATCCAATAGGTGCAACCATAACAAACGGTGATCTTGCCGGAATTCGACGAAGTATTTGAAGGAAATTTAATTTTGGATCTATCAAAAAAACATCAGCAGTAATTTTATTTGCTAAAAAAAGTAGAAATTAGTTTAATTAAAAAAGGAGATCAACCCAAAAGGCCAAATCCAAATATTTGGGTGGATAAAGGATTTGGGCGGATTAATATGGATTTGTTGGGATTAAGGGGAATTGAGGGACGTGAACTGTCAAAAAAGGCAAAAGGAAACAGGCAAACTTATTCTTGATCTTGAGTCCCCCTTATCGGCCCAATGTTTGGATGATCTTCTGTGTGTCATTTGACCAGCAGGGACTTGACATTCTGGGTTCAACCGTTAAAAATAAAAATGTTTAACTAATGTAAAAAGCAGACAAAGCATTTGTAACACAAATCACAGACTTTGTCCAAATAACAGCTCTTCGTTCCCAATCGTCTGGCCAAGCCAAAATTAATTTCCAAAAATAATCGGTTCTTTGTCTTGAATCAATTTGGTTGGCAGACATCCAAAATCTACTTCTAACAGGAGCTGGAGGTTGTTGATAACTAATTTAGAAAATTTTGTTTAATTAGAAAATGTGCTCTAATTTAAAAATTAAAAAAACCTTCCTTCCACTTCATCATCCCCTTTAATTTTAATTGGTAGTGTTGTTGATGTTTTCCATAATTCCAAAGGATCTGTATTTTTCCAAGACATGTCTGCTATCAGATTTTAAAACAAAAATACTAATTAAATTATAAAAATAAAGTCTAAGAAAAAAACTTAAAATTACAAAATAATTAAAAATTGTTATCTTTTTTATCTAAAAATTGGATGTTATGCATATTAAAATATTATGCAAAAGTCTTTTTTTAAAGATTATTTTTTCAAAAAAATTTTTAAAAAGAGAAAACTTTTGCCAAATAAAGCATTAATGTCTAAAAAGACAACCGAAAAGTTTTTAAATTGCTTTGGGGTCGAAGAAATTCGGGTATCGCCAAATGATTTTCTTTCCTATTTAAACAGAAAAAACCAAACTTTTCGGTTACAATTTAAAAACAAAAAATTCAACTATTAAAAAGGTCATTTCATTCAAATTTGTTACAAACAATTAAAGCATCTCTACTCTTTCCAACACCAATAAATTCAATCGGTACTTTAACATTTTGTTCAATAAAAGTAAGATAATCTCTACATTCCTGTGGCAATTGATCAAAAGTTCTAGCTTTAGAAGTGTCAGACATCCAACCAGGAAATGTTTTATATTCAACTTTGATTTTGTGCCAATCATTTATTGTTGCTAAAGAAAAATTTTAGTAGGAATATTTTAGAATAAAGAAAAACCTGGGGGATGTAAAATCTCAACTCCATCCAAATTATAAGCAATTCCAACTTGTATTTGTTCAAATGTATCCAAAACATCCACTTTTGTAATTGCCAAACTTAAAAAAATAATTTAAAGAAATTTATTTTTAATTTATTTCATACGATGTAAATCCATTAATAATACAAGAATAACGCAATAAAACCAAATCTAGCCATCCACAACGTCTTTTCCTTCCAGTAGTAACACCAAATTCAGCACCAATTTGTTGAAGTTTTTCTCCTTCTTTATTTGCTGTTCCGTCTTTATTTAATAATTCCGTTGGAAAAGGGCCAAACCCAACACGTGTTTGATATGCTTTAGATATACCCACAATACGTGTAATACAAGTTGGAGGAATTCCTAAACCTGTACAAGCACCACCCGCTGTTGAATTGGAAGAAGTAACGAATGGATATGTCCCTAAATTTTAAAGACAAATTAATTGGGTTAGGTCCTATATGCAGGCCCGTAGCCAGGGGGGGGGTGAGGGGGGGAATTCCCCCCCCCCCCCCCCCCCCCGAAATGGGAAAAAGGAAAAAATTTGGGGAAGGGCTGGGGCAAAAAAAGTAAATTTTTTTGGCCTACGGCCTCTGAAATTTAAAAAATTTTCGCCTGCGGCGCTAAAAAAGGAAGAAATCTGGCTTCTTGAGGTCCAAAATTAAAAAATTTTCGCCTGCGGCGCTGAAAATCAAATTTTTGGCGCCTGCGGCGCCGAAAAAGTGAATTTTTTTAGCCTACGGCCTTCTAAAATTCTCAAAATTTTCGCCTGCGGCGCTGAAAATAAAAATTTTTGGCGCCTTCGGCGCCAGAAATTTGGCGCAGAAAAAATTTTCCCCCCTTGGACCCCCCCCCCCCGAAAAAAAATCCTGGCTACGGGCCTGCCTATATGGACGGACATAACGAGATATTTCAAAGTACGAACAGTTGCTCTACGAATCTACGGCCACTGTGTCTTGGAAGAAAAAGCCCCCATGTTTTAGAACCAAGTAAAACGAAAGAGGTTATCATTTCCGCATCATCCCTATATGCCCGCCCACCAAATAAATCTAATCTTTTATTTTAATAAACTAACCAAAATCAATATCCAAAAGAGTTCCATTTGCACCTTCAACAAGTATAGCGCGACCTTCTTGTCTATATTTATGTAATAACATTGTTGTGTTGCAGGCTAATCCAAGCTTTTTTATTTGAGAAGCGTGCTCCTAAAAATTAAAATTATCTCAATATATAAATTATTTAAAAACCTTTAATTTTTGAAGATCAGCATCAACATTAGTGTTTATATTTGAAAATATTTTGGAATAAAATTTAACTTGTTCCCGATATCTTTAATTGCAAAATATGTATTTGAAAAATAATCGTAAAATTAAACTTTGTTCACCTCTCTTTACTTTCCTCAAGACTTAAAATATGGCACAAACCTTACTCCATGGCTGCTTTTTAGAACCAATGGCAGAACTCTGGGTTAATAGGGCCTTTCTATACCTTTAAAAAAATTGTTGGATAAAAGTGAACTTATTGGAAATAAAAGTAGTGATAAACACAACTAAACGTTGGCATTGGTTCTAAAAACAAAACGGGTACTTATAGCTATAGAGTATAATGTTTTTTTTATTTTAATTCTGACCATTTTTAATATTTGGAGGAAAGAAAAGAGAAGAACGAAGTTCAATAAAATAATATTAAAAAACCTTTTTTCAAAGTTTTGAGAGTCGTTTAACAAATCTCCAAGACGAACACCTATCCTAAAGCATTTACTAGAATAAGTAGGGCCTATTCCTCTTTTAGTTGTTCCTAATTTTCTAAAAATAAAATAATTTTTTCCTTAGAATCACCATGTATTTCAAAAAAATTTAAGAATTGTAAGTAATCATCTAGTTTACTGGACCCTAGAAAAATAAGTAGGACGTGCTTTTAGGGTATTCTTGAAAGTTTGGGATCGAGTGTGCTGATGTGCACCCGAGAATTAATTTGGAATTTGTTTATTTCGATCCTTGGACCGAAATGGACGGAATTCTAATATTAGACTCATATCAGCACACTCGCCTACCAACTGACAAATCTCAAAAATATCGCCAGAGCACTTCTTGCTTACTTTTTCCCCCGGAGACCATGTAAACTAGACGACTGCCAAGAATTATATAAAACACAAAAAAACCTAACGCTTTTTCTTCTAACAAAGATTCTTGAAATCCATCAGCTTCAATATGTACAGGAAGTACCAAATGAGCACAATCACTAATAAAAAGCTTTCTGTCCCCTTCATCTTCCCCACTTCCAAATTTAAATCCATTCTTCTCAATTTCAGAAAATAAGGCATCCAAATTAACGACTACACCATTTCCAATTATATTTACACACTCCTTTGTAGCCATTCCAGAAGGTAAAAGATGGAAATCATATTCATGATTGTTAACGACTACAGTGTGGCCAGCATTATTTCCTTTTAAAGAAAATCATTTTTAAAGATTAAATTTAATTTTACCTCCCTGAGAACGAGCAACAATACCAATCTTATATTTAAAAATTAATTTAAGAGTAAAAAAATGAAAAAAAACCTTGTAATGCCCTATTAAATAATCCAAAACCTAAAATTTATTTATTTTATAAAAATATTTAAGGAATTAATTAACCTTTCCCTTTCCTTCATCACCCCATTGAGCACCAAGTAATAAAGTAACTGACATTGATGTGTTGATTTTTAAAGAATTATTCTTATAAGGGTTGAGCTAATTTTCTGATTTACTGGTCCTAGAAAAAAATAAAAATACTAACCAGGGTTGCCGCGGGTACAAAAAATCTTCGGGTACGGGGTTCGGGTTTGGCGAAAAATTCGGGTTATTTTCGGGTGTTCGGGTATTGGTGAACTAAATTGTAAGGAGACAAGCTATATTCAATAACAGGATTTTGGGTGATATAGAGAGAGGCAAATTTGTAAGATTAAAAAGACATTGTGGGATTTGGGGATTAATTGGGACCACTATATTGGTCCATCCATTAATCCTCCAATTTTCTCCCATTTTCAGCGCTGCAGGCGAAAATTTTGAGAATTTTGTAAAGTCTTAGGAGAAAAAAATTCACTTGGCAGAACCGCAGGCAAAAAATTTTGTTGAAGTTTAGTTGGTCATGAAGCCAAAACTCTTAATTTTATGCGCCGCAGGCGAAAATTCTGCAAATTCATGACTAAATTAGAAATTTTTATGCTTTTTCAAGCTTAAAATATTAAAAAAAATAAATTTAAAAATCTAAAATGAAAATCAAAGTTTAAAAACATTTATTTTTGAAAAGAAAATTTTTTTAAGCCTCATTGCCAGCCCTGGACTCGAACCCACCCAAATGAAAATATCAAGCCAGTCGCCTTACCCATTGAACTTGAAAAAAAGTTTTGAACACACAACAATGTTTTGTAAAATTGTGAAACATGTTTTGTTCAACTGTGTTTTGTGTTTTAAAACTTTTAAAGTTGGTTATTTTACAATTACAAAACATTGCCCTTATGTTAGTTAAAAAAACTTTTTTTCAAGTTTATTTTTGCTTTGTAATTGTAAAATTAAAATGAGCTTGAATAAAAATGTTTTAACACTAAAAATACAATAATGTTTTTAGTTAAATGATATAGTTTACTATAATGTTTATTTTGATGATAATATGCTGCTAAACTAGAAAAATAAACAAAAATAAGTTTAGTGTCCAGTCAGCAATATTTTGTTTATATTCAAAACGTTTAGTGACAAATCTAAAAAAGATTTATAGTTACTAGAGTAAAATTTCGATCGTTGTTCTCTTATATATTTCGTTAATTTTTTTGAAAATTAAAAAGAAATTTAAAAAAAAAACTAGAAATTCTTCACAGGGTTGCCGCGGGTACAAAATATCTTCGGGTACGGGTTTCGGGTATCGGGTTGGAGCTTTTTAATTTCGGTTCACGGGTTTTGGGTTGGCAAAAATATCGGGTACGGGTTGGAAAATTTTCTTTTCGGGTATCGGGTTTCGGATACAAAAAAGGCCGGGTTTCGGGTTTCGGGCGGCAACCATGATACTAACTACGTATAATTTCTGTTAAGAATTGGGCGTAGATGAGGGTCTAAGACTCTAGTCGTGAGTTACAGTATATCAATTTTCAATTATGTCTGGGCGCTCGTATCGTTTCCCATCCCCGTACAGCCCAAGCCTATTAGGGTACAGCCCAAGCAAATTTGATATTAAACAATTCCTCTCATCGAGCTAAAGAGTTTGGTACCAAAATTGATAATGGACAGAAATTTTCAAGCTAGTTATGGACTTGCGCCGTTATGGCCGCGCGCCTACAGAATATCAAAGTGAGTGAAACCTAACTTCCAAACCACTCAACCACCGATCAACAATAGGGAAACTGAGAGAAAATAAAATATTTTTTTCCTTTTCCTTAGAAAATTTAATGACTAATTTGTAATTATGAAAGGGTTTTTTTGCAATATTTTTCGTAATTTCTATTTTCGTAATTTGTAACTCAAAAACGCCGTAATTCGTAATTCGTATTTATTTACGACGCAACTTTGCTTCGGAAGGGAAGGTCGGGGATGGTCTTCGATACGCGAAGGCCGTAGCTATTCATACACAATATTACAAGAGTGTTTTTGTTTTTTTTTGTTTTTCTGATTTAAAATTCCGTGCAATTTTTTTTTGTTATTTTTTAAAATTTATAATTCTTTTTTTTTTAATTTATTTTTTTTCTTCTCATTTTATTTTAAGTAAGATGTTATTTCTAAAAATCCAACCATTTTAATAGCACAAATTAGTTTTGCAGGTGCCTCTCCCTCCCTTCCTCTCTCCTTCCAATTTCCTTCCATGTAATACCCTTCCTCCTTTCCTTTCCTATTCAATTTACTTAAATTTATTTAGTTCATTCATCAACTTAGTTTGGCGCATTTTACTTATTTCCTTAATTCAACAATTAGGGCAAGGCACGAACCGGTATTGAGTAAATTGAGGTAAATATAATAGCTGTATAGGAGAGAAAATAAATGAGAACAATGAATTGGAAAGGCATGAAATATGGAAGGGTGTAAGGAAGGGGAAAAGGTAAATAATGGAAGAAGCAGGAAAACAATTAATTGTTGAGTAAATAAATATTTTTGGAAGAATTTAAGGGAGAGAAGGGGGGGGGGGGAAGGGAAGGGTCTAATATTATTAGGAGGGTATCACGACTTTTGCGCCGAGAACATTTGCGCCGCGACTTATGCGCCGCGACTTTTGCGCCGGGCGACTTATGCGCCGCGACATTTGCGCCGCCATTGTTTAGAAAATCCGGATCCGAAAAATGACGGATATCCGAAATTTTCAGTTCGGATATCAGATCCGAAGATTTCTAACTATTCGACAACCCTATTAAAGTAAGGTCCGGCCGTAGTTATTGATATATTTTTAATGATAGTGGCGGCGCAAAAGTCGCCCGGCGCAAAAGTCGCGGCGCAAAAGTCACCCGGCGCAAAAGTCGCTCGGCGCATAAGTCGCGGCGCAAAAGTCGCGGCGCATAAGTCGCGGCGCAAATGTTCTCGGCGCAAAAGTCACGGAACCATTAGGAGGACTTGTTTTCTGGTATATGAAGTGGATTATAAACTCGAAATGTAATGAAAAATAATTAGCAAATATATTTTAGTATATCAGAGGTGCAGCTCGTGTCGCGAAATACGAGATACGAGACGAGCTGCACCTCTGGTATATATTTTAGAATGTTTGGGCCAGATTTCTGGAGTAAATTTTTAAAAAATTGGGGAGGGGGGGGGTTTTAGGAGTTAGGAGTTCTTTATTTAGAGGGAGTTCTTTATTTTATATTTATTTTTTAATAATTTATTATTTATGTTTTCCTTTTTTGCTATATTTATGTTTTTTTCTTTTTGTCGGTTTATTTATTAAACACATATTTTCTACTTATCTTGACTTTTAATAAAATATAACACCTTAAAAATGTTCAATTGCGGGAATTCTTTTCTTTTTTTATAATGACAGTAGCCTTACTAGTTTATTTAAAAAGATGAAAAGATGGATAAAGATGGATAATTATAAATAGGTTTGATGTTGATATATATTAAATGGGTATATATGTCCTTGAAATTATCCTCTACATAAATATCTCTCATTTATTTTTTATTTTTTTGGAGATTTCTTTGCAACATTTTCATTTCAGATACACTCCAACGTCGGGCTAAATCTTTTTTTTTTCGTCGAAGCTTGTCGAACCTACTAAGGCACCCCGAATTCGATTATTTAGAACGAAGTTATAGCTCGGCGATACATTGGGTTCGCGGTGCTGCTCCCTCTTTTTTTGTTAATTTTTATAAGTACTTTTCTTTTTTCTCAAAAATTGTTCTCCCTCATTTTTTTAAAATTAACAAAAAAATATTTTTTTAAAAAGTTTTTAGCCACCAAGTGCCAATTCTTTTTTAAACAAAAAATATTCTTTATTCTTCCCCAACTTCATTTTACTTCTTTTTCCCACTCAAAACTCAATTGCTTTTTTGAATTTTTACTTTTGTCGGCTAAATCTTTTTTTCTTTCTTTAATTTTTTTGCCATATTTGCGCTTACTTCAATTAATTGCCAAACAATAAAAAAATGCGGGAATATTTCGCGGAAATAAAAAAGGGTCAAGTATTTATTTGCTTCTCTAAAATTTGAAACTTGTTGCGAATTGTCGCTAAAATAATTGAAATTATGCCGAAAAGGATCAATTAAACAAAAGATTTTTACTTATTTTTATTTACCTATTTTTAATTGTATTTTCTCGATTAATTCTTCAATGGAGAATTAATATTTCACTCCATCTTTGGGTGGGGGAAATTATTTGGGGTTTTGAATTTTGAACTTGAAATTAGGCATTTGGGGAGAGCTATTATTGTTTCAATCTCTCGTTGGCATGGGGAATTAATCGAGAATATATTTGGAATTTGTCATTTTAAAATGTTTTCCCGGTACTTTTCTGTTTTGTGACCGCACTTTAAAAATGTTTAAAAAGGGTCATGAATATGGACAAATTATATGTCATTCGAAAGAGCTCCTCGAGCTGAGTCGAATGACACCAAAATCATTTGGGATTAAAAATGGTACGGGCTCGAAATGGTCAAAAAATACAAGGATCAAAATGGTCAAAAAAATGAATATGACCAAAATGTATGTCATTTGAAAGAGCTCGCCGAGCTGAGATGAAAGATACAAAAATCACCGTGATTGAACAAGATTGAACAAAGTTATGATCGTTTATTTTAGCTCCTTACCTATGCACAAGCGCCTCGTCGACGCTCCATAGGTTTACGTTGACCATTTTGAACCTTTTTATCTTGGCTCATAATCAAGATCCCAAATGATTTTGGTGTCATTCGACTCAGCTCGAGGAGCTCTTTCGAATGACATATAATTTGTCCATATTCATGACACTTTTTAAAAATTTTTAAAGTGCGGTCACAAAACAGAAAAGTACCGTTTTCCCTAATATTTATTTTTCTTAATCCACTTTTTGTAACTTTTATAAATACATTTTTAATTTTTAAATCAAAATTTCCCTCATCCATTTTATGCCTATTTACTAACCATTTACATCTGTCTATCTTCCAAACAATTTCATAGCTTTTTGCCATTTTTGTTGCTAATAAGCAAACAAATATAAAAATATATTACACTTTTCCGAGTTTAAATCCCCCAAAAGTGAACAGCAAACAAATATAAAATCAACACACACCCTTCAATTTC